AGTGAGTAAAGTAGAAAAGCGGAGCGCGCTACGGGCGCCGACTCGAAGAATATAAAATCAAAAGAAGTTAAGGTTCTAAAACATTGAACGTCTGCGCAACTTTGTTGCCTCCGCAGAGCATTTATGTCTGTCTCCCCAAGGGAGTATTTTACTAAAGTGAATTCAAAATAGGCGATTTTTCTCTTGCCTTTTATATTTCATTATTTTATCGTCAAAATATACATCGTGAATTTTCTTACGAATAAAATCTATTTAGAAATGCTACGTAATGGAAAATTGTCGGAAAAGAAAATTCCTCTTCATCAATAATTCATTAATAAAAAAATTAGAGAAACAACATTCAATCAATTATTTATAAATATACATTTAAAGTAGTAAGTATACTTTCATACTCCTATAAAGTTTATAAAAATATTTCCATCTTTTTATTCGTAATTTTTGCTTCAAATTCTTACTTTAATTGTCTTTTATTTGATCTTCAAATTGAAAAAGTACTCCACCATGTCTCTCAAGACACCACTTGTTCCTATCCTCAAATCCTTACGTAATCCTTTAAAATCTCTCAGTACAAAGGCGGGCAAAAAACTCCGAGTCAAGATTCGGTCGTAATTTAAATGATAAACCAACCAAACGCGACGGGTGGATGGGAAAAGTGTTGTTCTAAAAAAGAACGCCTCCGTCTATATGCCGGAGGTTGTTTACTCACCTCCGTGATGTGTTTACGCATTTTCAATACAACGCCGTTGTTTTGCCGGGAAAACTTTTTTCACTAGCGAAGAGTGCAATAAGTGCAACATAATACAATAAATGCACTCCGAAAATCCGCCAGTATATATTTTGCGCAAGAAAAACTCATTATCATCTCTTTCTGTCTCTTTTTTTCGCAATGAGTGCGTAAGAATAAAATTTCAAATTGTACCAATTGAAATTTTGATTTTAAATGCTAATTGCTGGAAGTAAATCATACATTGTAATGGAATTGCATTTCTGTGTGGAATATGAGGAAACTTTAATTTGCCTATATATGAGAGCTTTATTTTGCTGATTATATATTCCAATTAAAACTTCATTTGAGCTCATTTTACACGCGCACAGCTCATGGCCGAATGGCGCGCAGAAACGTACGTCGCGACGAGAAAGTTTCTCTCTTATTTCTCCCGCTGATACGTCCGGTTATTTTTTGTTCACGGAAAAGTTACGAACGATAGCATCCGCTTAGTATTATGCTGGTACGAAGTTTTCCGACTACCGGCACGTAGTTGACTCGCTGAACAATATTTTCGTGCTCGGACAAGCCGATAAAAAGTACTGGGATACTTCCCGTAATTAACTACCATGTGATGCTAAAAAAAAGTGCAGAAAGAGGAAACCACGACCAACGACGAACAGTTGTACGTTCGCGCCTGTACGTCAAAAAAAGACTCAAGCAAAGCAAAGGATAGTGAGAGAAATAACGGAACAGAGAAAAGAAGAAAATAGAGAAGAACAGAACGTATAGTTCTTCCGCCAATGACAATACGACGTGAAGACAGTGGCGACAAGCAATTTAGGGCAAGACGACAGGCAAGGTACGCCGGAACAGATTAATTTCCTACCCTGTTTTCCTATCGCATCCGAACTATCCTATTATCGATTCCGCTGCTAACGACAATTGTCGCAGGAAGTCGATGTTGTGTAGCGCCGAAACGAGGCTGCGGTCGCGCAACAAATCGCAGTAGAAAGCGTCTCGACATACCGGCGTGAATTAAATGAATTGAATAAATGAATTAATAATGAATTGAATAATGAATTTTGGGGCATTACAATTTACTAAAAATTGGCTGAAACTAGTACCTGACGTTGTCCGGGTTGTCACAAAGTGTCAAGAGGATGAAATTAGAAAGGGGATGGAGCGTCCAGAAGTGTTTCATGCAGCCTATATTTTCTGCAGGGTCCTAGAGAGTAATTATGCAAAATTTGGTGATCGATCAAAGGGTTTAGGAATTTATAGGAAACAGACAGAGACAGACATTCTATTATAAATACCGGTACTTATTAAAGATAACACAACGTTTCAGATTATCCCAGAACGACCGCCGATCTGCCGTGACGACGGACATTTTCAGCGAACGACGGCCACGTCATCCATCGCGGCCCATAGGTGAAAAACACGCGCACTAAAATTTATATTAAAATTCATGGGACACGCGTGTTTCTCTCGCCGCGATTACACCTCCGCGTGGATGCGCATATTACGTCTGCTCTATATACATCGCCGGCGAAAATTGCGAATGCTGTACCACGCGACCCTCGGGATTTTATGCATTTCGTAGCCGGCGATCAATCGCTAGCCCCCTCCCTCTACAGTCTATAAACACAGGAGCCGACACGGGTTACGAAATATTAATTCCCGAGAAGCCGGCCGCGACGTAGCATATGATTAAACCGGCCCCATAAAAACAGAGTTTCGTGATCATCGAATGTTTTTCGTCGATACGTGAAACGCGGACTTTAGAGGAAGCAGATTTAATATGTTCCGTGAGCCAGAAACCGTGTAAAAACTGCGCTAACGTTTAACAATTATTATCTAACTCGATTTAGAAAAACTTTCTCTGCGCCAGATTTGAAAATAATTAAATGTTACGGAATGGCGCTGAATGTTGTAACAACAGAGAGACCTTCGAATTACATTCCATATCACAATAATCATAGTTTTTGGCGACACACTGGGACTATATTTTATGCAAAACGATGGAGTTGGGAGCAATGTCTCGGTATCACAAAATTTTTAGTCCGCAGTCTGTTTTGGAAAAGGACGTAGAGTGGTAGACAATAACAGGAAACTATTATGAATGTATGTGATCATACATTTAATGAATGTATGCGATCATACATTTAATGTTTTGAAAAAATATTACACATAAACACAGATATGTAACATGTATATTTAAAGCTTGAATTTTATTAAAAAGTCGCAAAGTTTTTGCATTTAATTAATATCGCTCTCACGCTTAACGGAGCACGAACTGTGCAAAATAAAAGGAATAAAAGGAACACCGAATGCAAACCTCGATTGGATTAAACTCGAGCGAATATAGCAAATTCTCAGACTATTGAGTATTGAGACTATAGACTATATCAGTATTGAGCGAGGCCATCTCAGCCAATTCGCCGGACTGGTTAAGTAGGCATTAAAAAAGGTATATATTGTATCGATAATTCGATAAGCCGCTCGATGTCCCTGACCATTACTTTCCTCTTTTTTTAAATATCCACCGACTCATGGAGTTCCAATCTGTTTCAGTAATAACTAGAGTAAACGATCGGACGTGACGTCACTCGCTTCGAGCACCCCTAAGTCGGAGGCAATGAAATTGTCGGGGATATCGGCGAGGGACGTGACAAGCCGGTATCCCAGCAGTGGACAACAGATTTGCATTCCCATAGCGCGGCTATTATACGCTAATGTCGGACTTTGTTTGTCGCGAAAATTGATGCTCGCTATATTATTCTCCTTGTTTTGTATTTCCGGCCCGTAACGACAATTCCTCCCCCGCATACCACGACGTTCGCCTCCATCAGTGCCGTTTTACGTTTGCAAAGGAGGTTTATTCGTTTTGAAGGAGTATTTCCTTTGACATCATTTCATTTTTCGATATAATTGTGTTTCTCCACGGTCGATATAAAATATTCGCGAAGCCCCGCAAATTTTCGAAATTAAATTTGCAAATGACATCCAGGAATAATAAAAAAAAATACCAGTATAAAAACAAAAGTAAAAACTGGGGTATATAAGTTGTATAAAATTAGTTGAAGAGTTTCCGAACGCAATCAGAAATTAAATTATTCGTATTGTTTGTGTCATTACTCGCGCAAACGTCGTGAGTAAATTGACGTGCTATTTGACTCAACTAATTATTCGTCTACGACGCGAATGACTTTCCAGCGCGCTTGTCTCGCTGGCCTACTAATTACGTACAAATATTCTGCTACGACGGCACTCCTTTGGTGTAAGCTTATGCTTCGGCGCACATATATAGCACTCGTGCAGTAAGGAAATCGCACAGATTCAGGAAGAGGAGCAAACATTATGTGTACAAGTTACGACGCAGATGCGCACTGATACTGATTGTGTACCTTTGTTTGTCATGCCATTACTGCGATTACTGCAAACAATCTTACGACCTGAGACTCACACGCCTCCTGTCATCATGTCAACGAGATTATTCACGTACAATCGAGATTTCCATCGAGACGCGAATTTGCATTCAATATCACCACCGCTCTCTAAATTTCTTAGAATGCAATCTCGCTCGAAACGAGCGAGAAGTATTTCACTCGAAGCGATAATGCAAATATTGCTGCCACTCGAAATCGCTAGAATGAATGTGTTTCAGTCGATTAGAGTGAATATGTTTCTTGTGAAGTGGAATACATTAAATCCACTCTTTAATTTCGAGTGAAAATATTTGCTACGCAATTAAGATATTGATAGCTGAAACTTGTTTCAGGTGAGATATTTAGATTTTTATTCAGAGTGAGATTCAAGCTATTCAGCTCGATTACGATAAATGTGACATTTACATCTGAACGGTTGCGATTCAATAGAAAATTTCTCGTTTAAAGCAACTCTGAATTGAAATTCGAGTATCTCACTTGAAACAAGTTTCAAGTAATGACTATTAATACAAACCTAAGAGTGAAATATCGCTGGAATTCGATGCTCTCTACTTGTCGAGCAAAATTTCACTCCAAGGAATCTCGAGAGCACACTTTTTACCACGTAACAGTACACGACGTATCAAAAGTACATTGTCGCGTTAGGAAATTTAAGAAGTTTAACCGTACAAGGAAGGAGAGATCGTTACTTCTACTCTAGCGACACATAATGCCGTATTTGGTTACCTCGGTCGGAACACTTCGTTCGTTTTCAGGAACGCGTTGAGAAGCGCACCTCAGAGCACGAACGAAACGCAATGTGGGCGACGTGGAATAATGAATTAATTGCATCTAAAACTCACCGATGGTGGTAAGCACTGTCAGAGAATAGAGGAAGGCCTTAGCGAAGTTCCATTCGTACTCCGGCGCACGGCGTTCCGTTACGGTTTCGCTGGGGGAACTCCCGGTATACGTCCCGGCATTTTGGGTCGCCATCATGTCCTCCGTGATCCTTTTCACTAGTTGGTCCTGAAACCGCGCGATCTCCTGAGCAGCCAGCCTCGTCCAGTTCTCACGGTAGAGAATGTTCAAACTCTCCGTGATTATCCATATGTTCTCCACAGTCTTCGCCCGGGCCTCGTGATTAAGCTTGATCACACCGAAAGTTATTAATTAGGCGACGTTTGAAATTCTGTCAAACATCGTGGTGTGTACACGTTCGTCGTTAGGATCGTAACTGTAACGCCAGTTGATTAAATTCAACTCGTGTGCGTCTATTAATTAGTCGGACAGGCGTGCGAATGTGCAATACGTTTCGCGGATAACACACGTCGAGAAGAACAGTAAACCGCGAGTGCTGTGTCTACAATCCGGTCGTCTCGAGTCGCACAGAGCATGCACAGAAGTTTCACGCCAGAAATAATACGACGGAATAAAGCAAAGAAAGTGCAATGAGAAGAAAATGTCGAATGATCTCGAAGTAAATTGCAAATATTCAGGCGTTCGTCAGTGAGCGATCGCTTTATCGGCACAACAATCCGTTCTTGCGATTATTGGCCGGAAGCGACAGACAGCATCCTTTGTACCGATGTCCTCGGGGGAATACGTTTTCCTTCAAAGTGTAAGGATAGCGGAAAGGAAGCACGATCGATAAAACTTCGTTGAAACGAGCGCTCGCGCCAGAATGCACCGATAATTCGATTGACTTCGGGTTCACTGAGGTCACCTCAGGTAGAAAAGCGGAATGAAACCGGAGACGTGACGATAAATCGAGAGTTGGTGCCACCGGAACTGTTTGCTCCTCCTCAAGGGAAGGAGAAGTAAAAACAAGTTCGCGGCTCGCGTCGGCGACGACAACCATGCTCTGCGTTCCTAGTATCGACAAATCTGTTTACTCTCTTTCTATTACTCTATTACCTCTGTTAGCTCGTACCTCTATATATCTATATACGAACAATATATATATATATATATATATATATATATATATATTGCACAATTGCACAATTCCTGTTGCTCGCTGTCGCTGCAAGAGCCACTTTGTTATGTGTCTCTGTTAAAATTAATGCATGCATTTTATAACTGAACACATGTTCCAACATTTTCCTGCGTGTAGAGTCTCTGAGAGAGCGCGGTAATACCAACCAAGAGGAAAGCAAGGAATCTAAACGAACACACCCAGCGATCTCGTATTCTCACCTGCTTTAACCAGGCGGTAGTGTTTCTTCTAGTATGCTGATTCCCAGCTATCGTAGTAGCGAGGGTCCTTTGTTGCAGACTAACATCAGCCCCGCCCTCGATGGCTAAAAATATGAAGCTGCCCAACAGGGTGTAGGCCACCAAGAGGGCGCATATCCCGAGGTTTATGACAAACCCCTTTAAGAAAGAATGCTGGCTGGCTTTGTCCGGCACGCCACCGAAGCACAGGCATCTCACTTGACGAGATGGATGCGTCTTGGAGCGTTCCGACGTTGACCTCTTCAGGGACGAGGTGTTGCCGTTGTTCGCCGGCTTAAAGCCCTCGTAAGCCCTGTAAGTAGGCCTGACGTTGTCCTTCTCCATCCTCTCGTTTGCCTATCCTACAGAGTCATCGAATTCTCTCGCCGTCAGCTTTGCATTCGTTGCCGGACACGTCGCCACATGCACGCATTTGTCAATTGCACTCCGTGGATCGCACTGGCGAGTCTGCTTCGTGGCGGAGGTCACGCGGTTGGCAATGAGAGATTAACGATATCACACTTGCCCCTTCCGAGCTCTCGTCACAGATGATCCTACATCGCGCGGAAAACATCACCAATGTCTTGTGCTCTGCTGAATGTTCGCGCGCTCACTAACCGCGGACTCGTCAATTGCCGTTCATTTACGATCATTCGTTCACACTACGATTACGTGTGTCCCGCAGTGACATACTTCGCGATAACAGAGCGAGATCTCAGATAACCTCGAGACACGATCCGCGCGTTTTGTGAGCGTAAAGAATTTTGTCGTAAAGTTTTCTTCGTACGCGCGTTCTCGAGTCCCGTAGATTCGATCGTCGCGGCTGCATGACTAGATCTCACCACGTAAACTATGGCCTAGAGGACGGATTCCGCGTTTCTTCGCTCGCCGCTGTGATTCGCCGGCGTCATCCGGATGTCACTTTGATTTTCGTCACTGTCGATTTCTTATTACGAGGCGCGGTCGAAGTCACTCGACTGGATGATATCGCGGAAGGATCTTCTGACAGCAAAGGGACGCCCGATCGTACATGGAGCGGACACTTCCGTCATTTTTCCATGGCACGATCGTCCTGGCTGGAATGCGGATTGGAATTCTATAGAGAAAATCGATGCTCGAAATATTTTCTGCGATATTAGTTACCTCCTCTCAAGAGCCTTTTGTTGACGTTCGCGAAAATCGACGCGCTAACGTTGTAAAAAATAGCAACCTCTCTTGTGAAAGAAGATATTAATATCGGATAATATTTCGAAGGTCGATGCAGTTTATAAATTGGCTTTGATCTTTTGATATCGTCCGCTGTGCAATTAGCTTTGTGGTAGAAAATTATAAAATTTACGAACAACATTCCCTCTTAACGCGCAAGAAAAGAAAGAGAGAAAGATAAATTGGTAAGGTCTCAATGATTCATCGTTGTTTCACTCTAAAAGCAAAATACTGTAGCAATGGAGACAAGAATTACGAGAGGCTCGGACGGGAACAATTATTCACTGTTAATTGCATCGCGAGTGAGGTGCCAAATCGCGCGATGGCAATGGCTCGAGTAACACGACGTAATTTAAGTTCGCAAACGAAACGCAATACTAACGTTGCTTCGCGTCGACTGATGCATTATCGCGCGCGGAGGGGGAGAAACGTTTCACGGAGAAACCGTGGCCGCTAATCTTCTGCCGGTTTTTCCCCCCTCGTTCCCCGTCAGCCGCACTCTCTCTCTCTTTCTCTCCTCGCTCTCATCGGGAAAATAGAAACTTAAAGAACAGCGCAAGGGAATTTTCGAAAGAATCTCCATGAGTCACTTAAACTTTCTCCCTACCGCTTGAATGCGAAGCCACTCAGTTTTCCGCTTCCCCATCTTTTCTTCGGCCGTGAGTCCAAAAGAAAGAAAAAAAAAAAAAGAAACAGATAGCGATGAAAAGAGATAGAGCACGGTTCGTCGGCGGGCGATAGAAACTTCAAAGCCTCATTCCAACAAACCGGATTTCCGTAATAAGTAAGCTCGACGCACGTCCGTGGGTGCCGGTTCGCCCTGGATGTTTCTCCCCGAGGCTTTCTCCTTATTTTATCCCTTCGTCCTCTCGGCGAATTTCCACGTCGTTTTAATGCACCGTCGAACCGTCGCGGCGATCTCAATCAAGAGGGGGGAGGAAGAATTGGACTTTCCACGCCTCGGTAAGCCGATTAGAGCGTGGCCGCAGCTGAACCGGTAATTTACTTGCGTCTTTCGCGCGCGCGCTGCGATTGTCGCGCGTTTGCGTCCGCTGCATGTAAATAAATCGCGCGTCGTCTTCCGGGTCTCTTGGAGCTCATGAACACCGCCACTTTCGTGCTCCACTGGCTCCTGAAAGAAAAAGAGAGAGAGACACTCGATTACTTACACCAGTTTCCTCAAAAGAGCGCCAAGTGTGTTGCACGGTCATTACCCTCTCTCGCGCGCGCACGCGCGCATATATCTCTCGACAGTGTACCGATAATAATTCATCGCTCTCGCCGCAGAGGCAGCCCAACGAATTGTCGAACGCCACGTCACGGAGGACATTGGTGCTTTCACAATATCATCGAAGAATTCAATACACTCAGACGAGTTTTATTCCCAACCGGGATAAGAGTGAGAATCCGGGCATCGACGTTGCTCGTCCGTGACTGTTTCGACGTTCTAAGAAAGACGGTTGAATTCCAGAAGGACTTTCGACATAGAATTATTCGAGGGCCCTGGGGGAAATCGCGGAGAACTTCCACGCTACGTGTTTTCCTGTGCACTTTACTCGGTCACCTGGAGCTTTCCAGCGGGGACAATAATCGACGATCATGGTAGACTCTACCATTACCGGAAGTACAAAAAAGGAGGGACAGGTCGAGGGACGAGACGAGACAAGACGAGACCGCGGGATCGAGTCAACGACGATGGATCCAGCGCGGAAAATATTGCTTTCCCCGTACATTCGACATCCATAAATGCATAGCAAGATCAACCGATCCGCGACACCGGCTTCTTTATCCTCCAAGCGTGATTTAAGACTCGGGTTTCAGAAGGATACCCAGCTAACGGGTCGGATTTGAAACTTTCATGGAAAACCATTTGCATTGGATGTACCCGTTGCTACAACCGTCGCTCTCACTGAGCGCTCAATGAACTCTCGGATCTGATTGCTTTGTACTTTCAAATCTTGGCCAGATCTGAAAGTGCACAATAACCAAATCCAAGAGTTCACCACCGCGCGCTTAGTGAGACGCTTCTTGCGGTACACTGAATGCGCGTACACAAAGCGCAAATTGACGACGGGTAGCCCGCGCGGTAAAAGCGTGGCACAACATTTTCTCATATTAAAACACAGAGTAATGTCGCTTTGACACCTCGCGCCGGTGTCACATCTCTCGGACGTGATGTTTCTCGAGCGTTTCCAGCTTAAACAGGCGCATACACGCCGCGTAGTTACCAGATAAACGCCACTTCAGTGTCGCGTCGACCACAAACGCAATGTCCTCCTCGTAATCGGATGAAATCTGTTAATTATGCGTTTCAGAAGTTAGTTTGAGCGTAAGTGCCGCAACAGTGGCGCTATAACAGCAGCCAGAAAATATTCAAACTTAGAATAACGACGAGGGAAAGTAAAACGACTGTAATGGCGGAATATCGCCTAGAATTGACCCTCCGCTGGTTATTCGCCGCCGTCTAAATACGCGCGTAATGCGCGACTTTATATAAACCAGACAACTAGCAGACAATCGCAATCGCGCGCGACATGACCGAAATAAACACGTCGGATACTAACTCGACGCTAATTTATCGTTTGACGTGATCGATCGTTGCACTCTCTCTCTCTCTTTCTTTGTGGCGAAGAAACGATCTCGCCGCGGAACAAACTGCCAGCCCAGGCCGCCGATCGTAAATCGGATCTGATCTCTCTTCCTTTCGTCTCGATCTGCAGTCTTTCTCCCTTCTCTTTCTTTCTTTTTCCTTTTTTACGACTTATTTACGAGCTCTCGTTTCTGACGTCGCGGGCATCCTCGCAAACAACTGATACGCCGGCAGCGTTATTGCCCGCCTTTATTTATTGTTTATTGTAAATAATCGTTCCTATCCTCCTTGAGTTTATGGATCGTTCGGGTGATGGTAAGACCGCGCGATCGTTGGCGCGTGACAAATGTCCACCGCCGCTGCACGCTAAGAATGATAAAGACATGCCTTGAGAGAGAACTGACCTCGATTTTTTTTCATAAGTTTACTTGCGTATCGATCAGGTGCTCAAATAGAATGTCTTTGAATACACACAGAGATGACACATGTGTGGCAACATAAAAAAAAAAAAAGAAGAAAATACTGACCACGTCTTGGAATTGTGTTTGATAATAATAGACAGGACAAAGTGGCTGAAACTAGATGCGATGTAGGAGCGAAGTCGGACGTGCGCGTCATCGTAAAAATTTCCACGGCGATTTTACCCCAGCGAAATACTCCATCCGTGGCTGCGCATGCCGATATATATCCCGGACTTTCGTCAATTTAAAATCACATGTTTCACGTCGCGGCGTTATTTCACAGAGATTGCGTCACAGCTGACTCGTACATTAGCATTTATAACCAATTCGCAGCGAGAATCGAAGGATAACCAGCGCAAAAGTCGATTACATCACCGACGGCTTCGTCGTCGACGATCACGGACGTGGAGCTTTCTGGGGGGAAGGGGATGGTGGTTCTCGCGAGTGCGAGTGAACAGAGTTGAGCTCGGAGGTTTCGGGCGGACGAAGAGAGTGAGTGGAGTAGAGGCGGAGGGGACGGCGGAGCGAAAAATGTGCAAGGGAGGAACGAAATGTGAAGAGAAGAGGAGCGAAGGGGAAGCGAAATGCAATTTTTCCGTTCGGCGCTTTTTCCAGCGACAGGGGAACCACCTGTGCTCGTCTCAGCGACTTTTAAATTCGTACCATTGTCGGCTCTATTTGCTGAAAAATGTTTATTCAATTTCGTTTACCGTCACTGCAAGATATTTACCCGGTCGCTTTTGCTCGAACAGTTCTCGCGCCATCGCGGACGATGGGAATTGGATGACGTAGAGATACGACGAAGGGGCGGGAGGAGAGGAGGAGAGAGGTTAGTCGAATAAGTTCACGGTGTATGTACGAGACTACATTTTTCCGAGGTGAGTCACATACGTGCATTTCGAGATATCGGGGAGACTCGTGAAAAAATTAGATAGAGTGAAGCATCCCATTTATTGATCCCTCCTTAGTCATTGGCTTTAGAAAAGGTTGGTTTTTCTAAAGTTGCGAAGTTGTCTTTTGGGATAACTGAGTGCAGGCAAGAGAGAGAGAGAGAGGGAGGGAGAGAGAGGAGGAGGGAGAGAGAGAGAGAGAGAGAGAGAAGTAACAATTCTAGTCGCATAAAAAATCAGATTTTTTGTAAAGTATCGATGACCAATAAGACGTCAGTAATTGGGTACTTTATTGTTCAACGTACAAAGTTGTATCATCCTAAAATATGCACTGAACATGATACATCCCTTAACATTAATTTACTGAGGTTTCCTATTGCGATTTACAACCTCGCATATACATGCATATAAGGTTGAAAATTGTACTAGGTGACTTTAATTATGATACTAGAGTATATATGACACTTGGTGTGCCATAAGCAAGTCATAGTGCTTTCCAGAATGGTATAACTTCATGTGTTAAGGCAATTATAGCCGTTAAGGTACTTCCCCTCCGGACGCTCGGCCATTGGTCAGATGATGTTAATGTTTAAAGTAATGTTCGGAAGCTTATAGCGGGACTTACGCTCGCTATGGAAAGGCACAACGGAAATCCGCAGATAAACTGTGAAAGTTGTTGCAGAAAGTGTCCCGAAATAGTGAGTTACGTGGAGGACGTTTGAGAGCTTTCTTCGCGCGCGGATATAAATCTATAAAATAAATCGGCGATCTTAATCATTGCGACGAAAATAGGGTCGCACGCGCGGGCTGAATTACGATGAGCCCAGAATGAAGTTACGAGTCGCCTCGCTCGACTCCGCGTCGACTTTGTCCGGTTTTGTGTATCAGCGAACGAGATCGCTGTCGGCGATAGAAATTTATGGCAGAATCGAAACCCTCGAAAATTTCATTAAGCCGTCCGTATAGCGATATTGAGAACCGACGGCGAACCGATCGAAAATGGAAGTTACTATCACGATACAATGCAACCGACATATCATGTAGGCTGTGCGCAAAAAATTTATACCCTTATAGATACCCAAATTAATCATCGACGATATCCCTCAAATGTGCGTTACGTGACACGATAAGCCTACGGAAAAATTGACGCATTTCTTCTCGCAATTTGAAGAAATCACGGAAAAGGCAAAGAGATCGAATTGTAATGATGAGATTAATTCGATTCTTGCGGTAACACGGAAAACTTCTTTGTTCAAGCGGATGAAATCAGCGCGGTTAACTTTTCCATTGATGAGTAAAGCACGTAAAATGATGAAGACCGTTCAAATCGACCTGTAACAACAAGCAGAGCGAGGCATCGAGGGCAGAAAGCACAGCGGCACCTTTCTCTTGCTAACTTTTCTTAGCGTTCCGCGTGGGTTTCAGGCGACACGCCTGTAACTTTTTCCTCAGGGTCGTTCGTGTTAGCCGGTACGGCTTATCTGCGCGAATTGGACACGCCGAACGCGCCCAAGGCGGCCGCAAGAAACTGCAGGAAGGAACTACGAAGAAGAAACAAATAACGACGATACATTTTCGCACAGCTGTTCGGCAAACTTCACCGTGCACGGCGCGGCGCGTGTCTGAATATATAAGCGCCATGACTACTTGCGTGCGTCTACGTGCGCTGTGCTTGTGGTTTAACGTCGCCGTGGAACAAGACAGACCCGGGAATTTCTGCCCCGGGACGCGAAATTCTTCGCGGTGTGTGCGCCCGTGTGCGACGCGATATCTGCCTCGAGGAAGCCACTCGAAAGGACCCGATTCGGCTTGTTAGGGGTCGCGGTTGGTATACGGCGCGACGTGATTGCCTGCGGAATACGCGCCTCGATTTTCCGGATTTTCTTCCGAGAGTATCGAGGCCGGGGCGACCGCCGCCGCCGCCGTCGCCACCGCCACCACCGCCACCACCGCCGTCACCTTTCCCGTCGCGGAAACTTGTCGCGCGCGCGTTTCTACCCGCGTCTTCCGCAAAGTTCCTCGTTAAAGACAAGCCGGGCGCGCAGCCCGGGACGCGAATGAGCAACTTGTCGATAACCACGACGCACTCGCGATTGCAATCTGACTCCCGCATGACTCTACGCCGTCAACTCTACGCCGTCATGTTGCGTCAATATTTCCGTCCTCGCCGCATGAGCGAGCTCTTTACTTT